GGGTGGAGGGACAGCGCAGGAGAGGAAGGCCCTCTATGAGGTGGATTGATTCAGTGACTGGGATAATTGGGATGGGAGTGTCAGGGACAGTGCGATTGGCACAGGACAGAGTTTAGGGCCTGTTGTACATAGGGTCGCTATGAGTCGCAAGCGACTCGACGGCACATAACAACAACATATACAACGTCCTGTTGAAATGAGTATTTCTTGGTCTACTGACAGGCTTTACGTAAGTACAGTTAAGTGTTCTGGAAGTGCCATTCTTCTCAATGTTATCTACAATTTATTATGATTCTCAGAGTCACATGTCTTTGCATGGTTAAGAAAACACAAGTAAATGTAATCATCTTTCAGATATTTTCCATTTTAAGCCTAGATGTATCTGATATCAACAGTCTTTCTAGTGCACTGTATGTATTCCATCCATCCTTTTATGATGCTTCCTGTATCATTCAATATTTTGTCGAGAGACGTCTTCAGTATTTCAATTTGTTCTTCAGTGCTTTCAATTTGAGAAACTCCCTTTTGGTTTTCTAACTCCAGGTTTCCAATACACAGGTGATGGTAATACTTTGTCTTCTCAAGCAGCCCTCCGAGATCTTCTGTTAGCCTGCTTAAATCATCATTCCTTCTGAAGGTGGCTTCCCTACATTGAACAACAAAATTCAGAGTCTCTCCTTGCATCCATTTTCTCCTTTTCTTTCTTATCTGCCTTTTTAACGACCTTTTACTTTTTGCATGGAGACATCCTTGATGCCATCCCTCAATTCATCTGGTTTTCAATCATTAGTGGTCAATGTGCCACACATTTGCTCTCGGGATGGATTTTATAATTCCTGTGGGATAAACTCAAGATTTTGTGATTTTTTTCCCCCTCACATATTCTTCAACTTCAATTTGAACTTGTATATGATGTTCAACTGAACTTGCAAATGATCAATCTGCCCAAGCTGTGCAGCACACAGGTGGAGACGATTCATCTTTCTCTCGAAGAACCAGGTATCATTATTAAGTGCTGTCATTTTCAAATTAGTTAATCTGGCAGATACTTCATTTTAGTCTAAATTGCCTTACTGGAGTTGATCTTTTTTCCCTTACAGGAAAATGTTTGTAATATTTTAAGGAATGACTAAAAATCACTGATTATACAAAATACTATCATAGAACTGCTGACCTCATTTACGTCACCAGGGAAATATTTTTCAACTATTAGTCCTTCTTTGCTTCCAATTTTGTATTTCACTCATTAATAATAACTAATAAAACTTGACTGCATGTTTGATCAATTACGAACTGCAAAAAGTCAAAAGAAATGCCCAATTTCATCATCTTTGACTTTAATGGTTTGTGGGAATATCTGAATGCTTCTATCAACCAGTCTTACAACTATTCATATGGTTATTAGCCCATCACTGACAACACTGTACTATGCCAAGTTCCCTTACTCTGTTCCAATAATAGTCTTTAACTAATCCTATTATACTGAGGCCATGGTAGAAGATTTGTGATGATCTTTTTAGTTATACGGTTCCTAAAAGCCGGAAGAAACAAATCTGTCATGGAGCAAGTGCAACCAGGATTCTCAGTAGAGGCAAGGGCAGTGAAACTTCATTTCACTCTGAGCAGCTGTCAGGAAAGGGCCATTCCTTTGAAAAGCACAACACCCTGGGGAAAGCAGAAGGTCAGAGAAAGAGGGGAGACCCTCAAAAAGACGGACTGACCAGTTACCCTAATAATGGGCTCCAGTGTATTACAGATGGTGAGGATGGAACAGGGTTCAGCTCTGTTGCTCTGAAGGGCTTTGTGAGTCACAGCTGACTTCCTACCTCATCAACACTGCCATCGCTCTTGTCAGAAACTACTCTAAATCAGCCTCCACACAAGCAACCTTCCAGCAGCCTGGAGAGCACAAGGAGACGGCTAATACTCTCTCATTCTGCTAACTACAGAATATTCAGCCCTTCAGGTCTGTTAAGATTTTGCAGTATCAATCTGAACCCTGATAGAGAAAAGAACTCTGATGTGCATTTATTATTAACTGCTAAAAAAATCCTTTTTGCAGACACTGAAAAGGGAAAATCATGAGTTTCAAGTTACTCACATGTGTATTAATTACTACAATGAATCAAAAGCTGCAACTCAACCACACCTTTCACCCTACGACAACTCTATCAAGAAAGGAGCAGAGACTGTGAAATATTTAAGTATTTCAATTCGGACTAAGAGTAAATGTAACATGATTTAAAGTCATACATTAAAACAAATCAAGATCCAAAGAATAATATAATTCCCTATAAAAAAATAAAACAAACCAAGAAGCAACAGCATACCTTGTCGTCCCCGGGGCAACGGTATAAATTCTGGAAAGTGCTAATGATGTTATTACTAAACCTTGGTGCAAACACATCCTTTTCTTGACCAAACTGGTGTCGGGATTGTCGTACAATGGAATCAATGACATAAAGGCCCGGTACCTTGTATTCTGGTTTACACTGAGAAGGCGGGGGAAAAGAGTGGAGAAAGAGAAAGGTCAAATTCTGGACTGACAAAAAAGCATCACAAATCCAAAATAACCACTCATGTTGGGATCCTGAACATTGAGACACTGATTCTTCTACCCTGTCCAATTTCAGGCTGACTCAACAGCCCCCGCAGCGCCCCCAGCAGGCCCTCAGCACCGTAGTGTAAGGCATCCACCTTGGCTACTCTGTATACTGTGCTGTTCCACGGCCAAGCATCTACACACTGAGGCAGTACCACCGAGCAGGTTCTAACGACCAAACAATGCCCCCCCCCCAGCATACAAAATCCAGCACTGTGATGACTGTTAAGAAGTTCTGCGATTTTTCAGATCTGTGGAAGAAAGGCATAAACTCAGGAAAGAGCTCTAGGAAAAGTGCTGCCAATGTGCGTCAGACCTCTGCTGGGAGAAGTGGCAAACGCCTTCTCACTTAACAAGGAAGAAATACTGAAGAGCACATTATAATGCTCTCAACTCACAAAAACCAAAGCCTGAAAACTGTTCTCAAATATCCTATCAGTAAGAGAAGAAAGATGCTACCATTACAAATCCTGTACCCTTATCAGGCAGTTGTAGAATTTACTCACTTTAATTCTCACAAATGGTTTTTGGGTTTGTTTGTGTCTTGTGTGGGGTTTTGCTGTTGTTGTTGTTATATGAAAAGACTAAACAAAAGGACATTAAGTACATAATTTAAAAGATGTCTTAACCAATGTAAAAACTGAGAACTCTCTTTTAAGTTCATTTTAAAGCCATATTACTTCTAAAATTATAAAGAGTCTAACATATTTAAAAATTAACCAATTCCAATAAAGTAGAGTAAAATGAATGTCTTCCAAAATAGGCTGGTATTTTAGAAAAGCAGAGCAGTTAATAGTGGCATCCAGCTCTGTGGAATGAATATGAGCAAGTTCCTCCCATGCAAAGTAGGGCCCGGGAAACGGAATGGAGAGACGGCTACCAGTCAGTTACAACCAGAGAACAATGACAGAGCATCAATGAATGACAGTGACAAAGGATAATTTAAAGGAAAAACTGCAAATTCCTGTGGCCAAGCCATTTAAAAATTATCAAGAGTACCACTGTCTCTGCAAAGTCTGGAAGAGGAACCTATGGTGTATGCCTATCAGTTTACGCTGCTTCTGTTGGGTGCCATCCATGAGGCGAAGAGGACCCACACCGACCCTATGAAGAGCTGCATGCCAAATCTTGTTAAAAGACCCAGCAGATCCCTTTGTGTGGCTTCACCATAACTGATGTAATCATCTCCCTATTGCCTGGTATTTGTTTATAAGGGTGTGAAAAATAACAACATATATGCATAATTTCCAGATGTGGAGTGGATCTACAGAATAAACTGCTTGCCAAACATTAAAGAAAAATTATCAAGAGCATTTTACCATAAGCGAAAAAAGAACTACTACTTTCCCCCATAATCCATATTCTGGTACTCCATTGGATCAGTGTTTCTGATCCATTTTCCAAGTTGAGGAACAAAAACCCCAAAACCAAATCAAGCTCAATGCCATCGAGTCAATTCACATTGACTGTTGTTAGGTGTCACTGAGAACGACTCATAGTGGCCCTGTGAACCACAGATCTGAAGCCTGTACTATACTGTACCACTGTCATCATCTCGGACACATGTAAGCCCACTGCTGTCTGTGTCAATGTACCTGGTTGTGGGTCTTCCTCTCCTAAGCAGTCCCCTCCAAGAACGGCCTCTCCTAGCAAAGTACGTGAGGCAAAGCTTCATTATCTTTGTCTCCAAGGAGCACTCTCGCTGAACATTCTCAGAGACATATCTATTTGTTCTTTTGGCAGTCCACTGGATATTCAGCACTTTTCTCCAACACCACAGCTCTAAGGCAGTGATTCTTCTTCTGTCATCCTTACTCACTATTCACCTCTCAGATACATAGAAAGAGACTGAAAAGACCATGGCTAGGATCAGGCACACCTTAGTCCTCAAACTGGCATCATTGCTCCTCAATAATTTGGAGAGGTCCCGATTATGGATTTTTCCAGTACAATTATATCTTCTGATCTCCTGACTGTTGGAACCAAGTGTACTGAGAATAGATCCAAGTAAGATGAAGTCACTAACAATCTTTTCTCTATCTTGTAAGGCCTAGGAAGAAAAACTTCTTACATATATAATAGCAAATTCTGGGACAGAATTTCCTTAACTATTAGAAATGCCCTAAAAAATAATAAAATAACTAAAACCAGAAAGAATGCTATAACTCTTCAATTATTGTGAAATGGCTAAGAAACAGAGAAAAATCAATCAAAATTAATAAAACATATTTTTGACACTTCCTCTCCAAGTTCCACAAGTATTGAAAACACAAGAACTTCTGATAAACTTTTCAATTACAAGATAGTTTCACTATTTGATTTTTTTAAAAAAAGGGGATAAAGAATCCTGCATCTCCCCCCACCCCATTTACTTCCTCTTGAAACTGTACATTACTAATTCCCTTTTTTTTTTGTGCTTCAGAGTCTTTCCTGTGAGAAATGGAAGAACAACAGTAGGGAGGAGGCACTTCTAAATGCATGTGCATGATTTTCATTCTGCTGACAACACATTTACACGTAGTCAATTCAGATACAACAATCTGGGTTCTAAAATTGTTGTTAGCTTTTACTACTAGAAGCAGGTACTAATTTAAAGTCAACATAACTAAAATGGTTGTAACCAGGGGTATGCCATCTTAACTTGCAAAGCACTCAGTGATGCTACTGAGACACTTAAAAACAGGGCTATCGCAGGACACGGCCATGGCTGAAGCCACAGGAATAATTTCACTTTTCTCTGTACAATGATAAACAAGAGTTCTTAATATTTAGTTGTGCCTGCAGCAAAATTCTGTAAGTTCCAGTTTGCGCATTTAGGGCAGAGAAGCCCTAGTAGCATACAGCATAGTAAAGTGTTCAGTTGCTAACAGAAAGGTCAGCAGTTCAAACCACCAGGTACTCTCTGGAAATAAGATATGGCACTCTGCTTTCAAATTATTTGGTGATGACGTATCTGATAAGGGACTCCTATCTCAAATTTATAGGATACTCCAGCACATCAACAAGAAAATAATCCAACTGCAAAATGAAACAAAGTATCAATAAACATTTCACCAAAGAAGGCATTCAGATGGTAAACAAAAACATGAAGAAATGCTCAAAACCCCTTGCTCCCATAGAGATTCAAGTAAAAACAACTATGAGATATTAGTTCACCTAGTAACAATGGCAAAGTTCAGCAGAGCAGCAAATAACAAATGCTAGCGAGACCTGTGATGAGACTGGAACCCTTCTTACTCAATGCTGGTAGGAGTGTAAAGTGGTGCAACCATTACGGAAGGCAGTATGGCGTTTTCTTAAAAAGCTGGAACTAGAGTACCATTTGACCCAGCAATTTCACTACTAGGAATAATATCCTAAAGAAACCAGAGCTACCACCCAAATAAATATATGCACACCCATGTTTATTGCTACGTTATTCACAATAGAAGCAACCCAAGTGCTCATCAATAACTGAATAGATAGAAAAAGAATGGTATATTCTCACAGTGGAATACTATGTAGTACTTAAAACAAGGAACTCATAAAATGTTATACAACATGGATGACCCTGGGCGACACATTATGCTGAGTGAAATATCTTAGTCACAAAAGGACAAATACTGCATACCACCTCTGTCACAAAACAGGACTTACATGGGGGTTGGGGGAAAAAGGGGGATAAATAATGAATACTGCACTGGAATAGATGAAGGAAAGAAATGTTTAAAATGAATATATGATTAGGCATTTTATATATATATACACACACACACACTCACATACAACAGCCCAGAATAAGGGGTAAACTGCAAAGAGGACTTTGGGGGGGTGGGGGTAACTGTGAAACAATGAATAAATATGTTTTAAAAAAGTGAACTGGTGGAAGGGGAAAGGGGGGGGGTAAAATGTGTAATAATGAATAAATGAAAACAACTTTGGTAAACTTCCACTAAAATCACAATTAAAATAAAAAAAATAAATAAAAAAGGTTTATAGCTTTAGAAATCCCATAGGGCAGTTTTATTTTATTCTAGAATCAACTTGACAGTAAATGGCAAAGTTAGGGCATGCTCTTGGGGTAGCTGAGGTGGACACAGAAACAAAGAAAAACCTTTGATGACTCAAAGATACTCCTTTAATATTTTATTTTTTTTTAATTTTTATTTATTTATTTTATGTGTGCGCCGTCAAATTGGATCTGACAGGTACAGGAGGTGATTGTTCCTCCTTCTTCAGCAGAGCATCTGGTGGATTTGAACCGCGTACCTCTGGGAAAGATACTCTTTTGTGCTACCCAATCAAACACAATGACATTTTTATATTTACTCACACAAATAAAAAATACATAAGATTCACAAAATCTCCCATCAGTTGCATTCACAGGTAATGGAAAAAGTAATAAACCTTACTCAGAGTACATCTGCTAAATGCCTTCTCATGAGCTGCCAACCAGCCTTATCAAGATGTTCTTGCTATTCTCTTGCTATAGATTATTACTATTATAGAGTATTCTGGGATTCTTGGTTCTACTGCAGTGATACACTTCTTCCTAACAGTGTGCTTTTCTGGAGATTCTAATGCTCATCACAACATGAAGCCTACTTCCACGCCTGCTCTAAAAATGTCACTGCTCTCAATGGTTTCAGCATTCCAAGGAGGTTCCCTATCCTCTCTGAAGTCTTACATGGACCTCCGTAGGTGTCAGTACAATTATACTGTTGTTGCTGCTGTTAGGTGCTTTCAAGTCAAGTACGACACACTATTCTAAAACTGCAGTGTGCCAGGTCTGAGTGGCATCTCGCCCCTTGCCCCCAAGAATTGTTTTGACTTAAGTTTACTTAAGATCTAGTTCAAGTATGACTGTTATTAGGAGACAGTCATATTTAGCTCACTCAGTATCTTTTAACTAGACAATGAATTGTGTTCTGCCCTACTCCACATGAAGTAATATTGTAAGAAACAAATCAATCCACTCTGGCATCTAATTAAGAATGTTAACTTGGGGGGAAAGGTTGGGAGGAGAGAAAAGTGCAACAATGACTGAATGGAAATCCAAAGTCTCTGTAAATTTTCATTGAAATTAATAATAATTTTTTTTAAAAAAAAGAATGTTAGACAGAATTCAATATATTTGCTAATGCCCTCCAGTAGATCATCAGTGTCAAGGAAGAAAGACAAGGCAGCGTCAGCTACATCCTTCCCCAAGTGAACTTTTTATTAGTTATTAAGTTGGTACTGACTAGTCTGGTTGTTTTTCGTTAGCATCATCAGTTGAAAAATCTTGCCAATTACAGAATTCTAACACATTGTAGAAGGCTTATGTATCTTCCTTAACATACATGCCTCCCAAGACTGTACTTCCTTTACCAAAGATAAGCTCCTACATGTCTATATAAAAGTACATAATGCAAAATGATGAGAGATGTTCTAGATAATCATGTTCTAGATAAAAGCATCTTCTTATGATAACAGACTCAAGAAGGTAAAACTGTACCTGCTTCTATTAAAGCAGGTCTTTCTGCAACACTGCAATATCTCCTAAAAATATTCCTACCCCAAATCAAATCTGTTTAAAAAAAAATTAGCCACAAACTTATGTTCCTTTTTCAGAGTCCTACTACTCAAGAGTGTGCTCTCCTGGCTACAGGCAAAGGTATCACCTGGCAAACTCTGAAAATGAAAGATCTCAGACCTTCGTAGGTGAGTCAGAATCTCCATTTTAATACGCTCCCTAGGTAATTCCTATGCACAATAAAATACAAGAAATGCTACAGTTGGCATTGATGTTCTGACGAACACTGATTCTGACATAAAGCAACCCCAGAGAGCAGAGTACTAGTGTCTCATGGAGTGTGTGGCTGGAATCTGAATGGGAACACACTGCCAGCCCTTTTGTCCCTCAGAACAGAAGGCTGGAGCCACCAACTGCCCTCAGCAGTAAGGGCTGATGTCTTTTGCCACCTGGGTTCCTCTGACTTAAATGTGAGCATTTTTATAAAAGTATCTGAATGCTTTAAAGCAATTACATTTTTGAGTCACCAACACTTTGATTTCATAGACTGATTTATCTGGTCAGTATACATGTTACTTTAACTAGTGTCTTAGCCTCAAATTAAGCTAGTTAACATCAAAATAGTTTTATAGAACTTTTAAAGTACTAAGAAAACAAGACTTTTATGAAGAAAGCTAAAGTACACAAAATTAGCTGGCTCATTATAAATTATCATGTTACTTTAGGGGTTCAGCAACGTCCACTGCAATCCTTTAGTCCTTCTCCCAGTCACTGTATTTGTTCAAACAGAGATTGCAACTGTGTCAATATCCATAACCCACAGAACAGCTAAGCCTGCATCCAGGTACGGGAATTGTTGACTGCCATCGAGTTGAGCACAACTCACAGCAACCCTATGAACAAAAGGCCTGAAGCCTTTCTGTAACTATCATCATTTATCAAAGTTCATAGAATTTCCAGTGGCATGTTGTTTAGGAAGTGGATGCACTCCTGTTTCTAAATCCTAAACTACTTACAGCAAAAGGACAAGGAAATCTTATGTATTCTTGCCAAAAACTATGGCCCCAAAGGGCTTCTGCTTACAAAGATAACAAAGAACTGCAATCTAGTCATTGTAGGTCTGGTTTACAAACAGAAAAGAAAGGTGACGTAAGGCAAGTGCTTTCCACATCATCTCTGTGTTTCATCTGGAAAATGGAAATGTAGGTTCCATTTGATAAGACCAAAAGATGTATGATACAATGGATCAGATAAAAAGTAGCTTAATGGTATTATTTTATCCACATCTAAAGAGGTATCATCTATCCATGCAGGTTGAAACAGAAAGTTAAAATTTCATTAAAGGCTATAAGCAACAAATTTACATTATCAATAAAAATCAATCACATTATTTTTACATAATTACAAATTACATTATTTACAGAATTACAAATCAATCAAACTAAAGAGACACATAACAATGTAAATTTATCAAAAATACTTCAGGTATAATAATCACAATCATCAAAAAACTATTTTATCAATTAGAAAATAATAAGACTCTTTAAAGTCTACTAAAATAATTTAAACTCAAGTATCCGATTTAAAGGAGACAAGTACAAGGCACTAATTTACAATTAAAATACATATTTAGCATTTTATGTAAAATTATATATACTTACTTTCTGGATGAATTTTTCAACACTTTGTACCACATGTTTATAGAACTAAAAAGGGAAAAAAAATAAAAATGGTTTTTAAATCTGTCCAATTATGTTATCGTTTTCCTTCTAACCATATGCTTTAAGACAGCTTCACATGTCTATCAAAAGAATGAATTTGAATCAAGAATCTTGATACAAACACTGATGTCTCCCACTGTCAAAAGCCATAATCGTGGTATCTGATTAACTAAAAGGCTGCTCTAATGTCGGTAATGGGAGAGAAAGATGGGCAGTCTCTTCCTCCCGTGTGATTTACCTCTGGAAGCTAGCTGGAAGGTAGCAATGAGGCAGTTTGGACATAATGTGGTTTACAGTGTGTCCAAAATGCGTTATCTCAACATAGATTATAAAGAATTCTACCAAAGTCCTAGTGAAAACCTAACCTAATAAACAGCTGTGTTGACAGCAGAACACTTTCTCCTGATAGCAAAATAATGTTGCTAAATTCACTGACGGATACAGTCTTACTTTCATGGAACAACAAAGAAAATACAGATTTCCTACAGCAGCTCATCAAGGAAGAGTACTAGAAACACCAAATAGCATTAATTATTGTGCTCAAGTGAGTTGTCAACTTTATCTCCATTTCTGAAAACTGGAGCTGAAGGAGTGTTTTATTTATAACAAAACAAATATATACAATATTCTACTAGTTTGATGAACTGGCAGAATGAAGTAAACACAGATTTAAAACACTAGCAACAGTTTATAAAAAAACTGTGTACTAAAGAATTTACTCTTTTATTTCTGCTTCTATTAATTATATGAAAACTTAGAAGATTTATATTTCAGAAGATATTATATTTTGAATAAAACAAAAACTTTATGTTTAAGAAGCACAGTACCCTAGACTCTGTTAAAATGTTCCAAATACTTCATGGCAGTTAAGTAGTTAAATACAAAAAGGTATATTTCTAAACAGAAATAGTATATTCTTCTAAATTATGCTTTTATTCTTTTAATCTCATGACTTATGTTCCTGAAGAAAGATCTTCAGCTTGAGGAGATGAGAGAGCATCAGACTAAAATGCCGCCTGATAACCGGTAACTGTGAGACCAAAGACAGGGAAAATCTCATTTTTTACACCTTCCCATGGTGAAAATTTACCTTGAAACAAAGAAATACTTTATCTTTTAAGCTGCCTGAGTAAGAGTTCAAACTACTTAAAAATCACTTGGTATTTTATAAACCTCAATAGTTAGAATATACAAAATATTAAATTATACAATGATTTATCAAAAAATAACTCTTCTAAGAAATAACTGGACAGCGCTTCTTACAAGTGGTACTACAAATAATTCAGAGTAAGACAGCTTACTAAACTTTTACTTCAGGAGTTTACTAATTCATGCAGTTCTCCTTCCGTAGGAGGCTGTCGGTGAGGCTATGCTGCCAATGGGCAGCGTTCACTCCCTCACTCCCTGACCTGATCCTCCTGACTCACAGAAACCCTCCAGCAAGTTCCAAGGATGTAAACTGCACTGTGTGCAGAACATCCACTGTCCTGCTCAGATCCACTGGCACCAAAGCACCCCATTATAACAATTTCTCTAAAAACTGGTAAAATTAGTAACTTACCATAATATAACAAACAATCATCATTTGCATCTAATTTAAACAGCAGTTAAAAATACCACTTCAGATATACTGAGTGCAATTTAAAATAAAATATGGCAAAACAATAGGTCTAGATTTTTCAAAAATGTCCAATGTTACAAAAATCAATGTAGCCAGATGGCATGGCAAATAAATGCCATGTGTTATCTTTGCTGTGTGAGGACAAATCATTCTCCATGATACACTCTGAGGTGATGAGACAATGGGTTAAGGGGACTGGGGTATGTAATACCCTTAACTCAGGTCATAGGCCTGATCCCCAAAACGGGCAGCTCCTCTCAGGAATGGTCTACATAAATTTTTCTCTTAAAAAAATCAAAAGGAAAGAGAAGTGAGCAGAAAGGAGGCATGTGCCTTCCACCAAGATTGACCATGCAGCTGCTGCACTGAGAACCCACTATCCCAGGGGAAGACTGATTCTTTTTTTTTCTCTCAATGTTGGATGGGTGAGCTTGAGCCTGCAAGGAGCAAGCTGGCCCTAGACTTTTCCAAGTCCTTATTTCTTTGCCTCCAGTTCTTACGTGTCCAAGGACAGAAAACCACAGACACGCCTTTGTAGGAGGAGGGAAGACTGATTCTAAGACACGTGGAGCTCTCTAAGGATCTCTAAGAAACACTGATCCCAAAGACACTGAAAGGAATGAAGGACCTTCCTCTGGAGCCAAAGAGATAAAGCCCTTCCCCTAGAGCTGGTGTCCTAAATGATGAGAAGACATACCAGTTAATGACACACATCCATTTATGGTCTATCTGCTGTAGAAAGACTAGACAGCTAACATACACATATATAAATATGTTTTTGTTGCTGTGTACCAACCAGCAAGTTAAAACCAAACCACAGCAGACCCTATCTTTGCTGTGTGAGTGTGTTAAGAGGTAGTTAAGCACAGGAAGACACTGTCCATTCTTATTCCATGGAGCAGCTGGCAGATCTGAACTACCTTTGGAAATGCAGCAAGATTCTTACCACTAGGCCACCAGAGCTCCCTCTAGAACAATTAGATAGACAGACAGACAGACAGACAGACAGACAGATAGATAGATAGATAGACAGACAGACAGACAGACACAGTCACACACACACACACAAAAACCCCACACTAAATTTTACCCATCTACAATCAACACTGTTGGCACCGGCAGCCAGGAAATTAAATGAATGACGTATTACGATGGGAAAGTCTGCTGTCAGAGACCTCTTCAAAGTACTGAAGAGCAATGAAGCCAGTATGGAGACTAAGGTGTGCCTGATACAGGCCATGGTCTTTGCAATCACTTGTAATGCATCAGAGAACTGGACAATGACTAGGGAGAATAGAAGGAGAATTGATGCCTTTGAGCTGTGGTGTTGGAGAAGAGTATTGAATATACCGTCGACTGCTAAGAAAACAAACAGGTCTGTCCTAAAGAGGGTTAAACCAGGCTGCTTCTTGGAGGCAAGGATCCTGAAGCTTCATGTGACACACTTTGGGCATACTGCAAGGAAGGACAGTCCTTGGAGAGGGACACCATGCTTGGGAAGGTGGAGACACAGCAGAGGAGAGGAAGACCCTCTATGAGACGGATTGATTCAGTGACTGGGGTAATGGGGGTTGGTCTGTCAAAAGACAATAAATTGGCATAGAATAGAGCAGGGTTTAGGGCTGCTGAACATAGGGTCGCTATGAGTTACAGACAACTCTATGGCACAGAACAACAAGAAAGATAAACACAGAATTAACTTTGAGTACTCACCTTGATAGCTTTAATGGCTGCTTTAGTAATTTGGGTCATTTTCGCTTTAGATATAGGTGGCTTGTAGTCATTCAGGGAATATAACTGGTAGGGAGAAAAAAAAAACCAAAAATGGCCCACATTTTTATTACATCAGAACCAATTGTCTCCAAGAAAATCCATTAAATTACCAAGCAATTACATTCAGATCTTCTTCACAAAATTAAAGTGCTTCTCTGTGTGTGTGTGTGTGTGTGTGCGCGCGCGCGCGCGCGCGCGCGCGTGTATATGTATATATATTTCAACATCATCTGCCAGCAAAGATATCCAAATCAAAACCACAATGAGATACCATTTCATATTTATGAAAATGGTTACAACCCAAAAAGACAGGTTGCCAGTGTTAGCAAGGATGTGGGGAAAGCAGCACCTTCATTTACTGTGGGGGGAAGGGGGTAAACAGCTGGGCACAGCTGCTTTGGAGCACAGCTAGATGATTCCTCAACTAGTTAAACACAGTTATCACACGACCTACCAAGTCCTTCACATTAAGAACTTGACCACAAATGTTTGCCGCAGTATATTATTCATAATAACCAAAAAAAGTAGAAACAATCTCAATGTTCATCAAGAGATGACTAAATAAAATATGTTCTAACCATTCAATGAAATGTCAGTGAAACCATGATAGAGAAAAAGGGAAGATACATGATTTCAGAGATAAAAAAATATCCCCTCAAAAGGCAAACTGATCACATGATGTTTAAGGCTGAGGCAGCTAAGAAACAAGAATAACTGCTATCACACATGGCATTCATTGTTCATTGAAAAAAAGTCTAAAACTTATTGTAGCCATATCTGCACATACGAAAATCCACTGAATGGTATACTTTAATCAATCAATTACAGAGTATGTGAATTATATCTAAAGGAAAGTTTTTAAAACTCAAGGCATCTGGTGGATAACCATAATTTTTTTTAAACAAATTTCTTTTGATACTTTCAGTTCAAGATTAAGAAGGATAATTAAGAAACTGACAAATAGCCAAGGTGAAATAAATATTAAAAATTACACTACACTGTATGGTATTTTTGGCTATTATGCTAACATAATCTGAAAACTAAGCTTTTACTACCAGAAAACTCCAACAGAAACGTGGACTTTTTAAGACATTCAAATGGAATATGTGGTTAATCAGAAATTAAGCAAAATGTACTCCAACACTCCTTAGAAATACCTACAGTTAAAGTCAAATTCTTTTTCTCCCTCAATTACTCTGGAAACTGTTTCAATTGTCCCCATTTCCATCTCTCCACAACTGAGATTATGGTCTAAATTACCTCATCTCTCTTCTAGAGACTACCTACAAGGATGTTGTGTGTTCTCTAAATTTAATTCTCAAGTACTTTTAAAAAACTAATCTGTTCAGTAACTTTTAAAGGGTGGGGAAAGGGAAACAATGCTCAAGGCATCATTTAATGACGTCCAATCCTATACTGTCATTCACCTGAGAAGCATTCATCCAAATAACTTACTTGTGTTTATCTGATGCCTGAAGTACCACGTGGTGATGGTGACTGATACTTGGGAGGCAAAGCATGCAGTCCTTTAGCTAAAGGTTCCTTTATCACGGGGGAAGATTATAGGGAAAGGAGCTGTGTCCAAAACACTCAACTGTGCTCATTCAGAACTTGAACAGAGACCAAAAAGGAAGTTGTTGAGAAAAGGAAATGCTTTAAGGTTTCAAATTGGGGAATGTGATGTAGGTTTTCACTATTTCAATCTGTATGTGGAGCAAACAGTCCAAAAATGTGGATTGTATTTATAACAACATGACTTCAGGATTGGAGAAGATTCTTCAACAATCTGATATGCAGATGACACAACCTTGCTGACAACGAAGATGTGAAGCACTTATACATTACCTATCAACATTAAGAAAACAAAAATCCTCAGAAATAATGTCAATAATTTCATTTTACTTGGATGTGACAGTCTATGGAAGCAGACTAAGAGAAGCATACAATGTGCTGCATTGGACAAATAAAGCATTACAAAGCAAAGGAGTCATCTGAAAGACTACCGCACAGGTGTCCCAAGCCATAGTACTGTCAACTGCCTCTTACAGAGGCAAGCTGGATTGTGAATACAGAAGACAAAAAAAACCAAAACACAAACACCTCTTCTGCTACCACCTTTGAATTATGGTGTATGGTACACTGAATAAACCACGGGCAAGCAGAAGAAATGAACTCTGTCTGGGAAATACAACTAAAATGCAAGCTTGGCTAGACTGTATCTTGCTTTCTCTGGATGTCATCAGAAGGATCCTTCCCTGGAGAAGGGACACCCAGCTTGGTCAAGCAGAGGGCCAGTAGAAAAGAGGAAACCCCTTCACGAGATGCACTGATCCAAGCGCTGCAGCAATGGAGTCAAACACCGGGGGATGATGCAAGACCAGGTAACATTTTATTCTATTGGTCCCTGTAAAATGACTGCACGGCATCTCACCTAACAATAACAGTTCCCCACAAAAATCACAGCTCAACTCAAATCTGCCAAAAGTGTAAGGCACCCCTCCCCTTTCGGTTTCCACAGACGTGACTGTGGCAAAAATACTGTCTGACTGGGGCTAGAATCCCATCAGATTCTTTATGAAGGACTCTCTCAAATGCGCAGAACATTTTACCTACTCAGGGACTGCAAAAAGCAAAGGCTAAATAAACTCCTCAAAGCCTTAACAGGCTCAGTACTCAAGAGAGTTTAAACTCCAAGGGCACAGTCCCTGTTCATTCTTATTTTTCCCTTTTATCATCAATGACTGGCAAAGGACAGGAATTTGTTAAAAATTAAATGAGCAAATATATACAAGACAAAGCACCACACAGACTTTGCCCAGAAAGACCTGAACATGAAAACTCGACTTATTACAAGTTGCTGAATCTTTGTTTTCTCCTTTACAAAACGGAAAGATTTATTTCACAGAATTGTAGTATATAAAGTTCCTAGATTCACAATGAAGTGACTCAACAATGGTTGCCTGTTACTTTGATATAAAAATCTTTCTCTTTGGTAGGCATTCCCTATTTAAATAACACGAAATATTAAGACTCTTAAAACATGTAGTCATTATTTGAAGATACGGTCTACATAAATTATGCTTCTAGGACAATAAAAAATGTGCTACACCACATCTACTACTCTTGGGTTTTGTGTGGAATTTCAATTTAATAGTGATGCACAGTGGAGCAGACTAAAGTTTCCCTAGTAACATACTAAGTAATAAAGTACTTTTCAAAGATCTTAATCTAGACAACTGCAAATGACCTGTGTTTTCCAAAACCTTAATTCATTACATCTGATCATCAGAAAGCTGGCCTATTGTTATCATTTGAATATTCATGCAGTATCTTTAAAAACACTTAATATTAAATTGTCAACTTGGGAAGAGGGTAGATAAAGATCTCCCCTAGACTACTGTCTGTTGTGGATGTGTCAAAAAGACCTTTCCACAGAAAGTTTCTTAAGGAAGCGAGCACGAACTTCTTGAATTCAGATTCAGGAAGGAAACTGAGGCAGCTCTGATAACAATGTTATTTTGTATCAAACATGCCTGGTTTCTACTCTTTAATTGTTCTTCGATTTGCTTCCAGGAAACTTATTACATTTCTCTTTGTTAGAACTCAAAAAATCCAAAAAATAAAAAAACAAATCAAATCACATTTCCTTGCAGTCAACTTGGAACCAACTCACAGCAGTCAAAACATACATCTCAATGGTCTGCTGATGACAATTTCTTTAATTGAGGGCACTGTGGTGGCCTAGTGGTAAGAACTGCACTAACAATCCGAAGGCATGTGGTTTGAATCCACCAACACGAATTCTGCAATATATGAAATAAAGTGTACCGCACACTGTATTTAATGTGGTAGCTAAACAGCTTCCAAGTTCTTTGTGAAACACTGGGCAATCCCTACTACAAATTTATTGAGCTACAACAGTCCGGCTTCCTATGCACTAAATGTCTATCCCCATATTTAATTTCTAAACATTCTATCCAACCATCTGTTAATTTGTTATATGTCGTGGTGTACATGTTGCTGGAAGCTTTGCCACAGCGACTGTAAATACCAACAGGGTCCCCTGTGGTGGGCAGGCTGTAGTAGAGGTTCCATGGGAAGACAGAGAAGCAGAAACAGCAGGACAAGTCAGCCTTTTCTGAAATGGAAAGCCCTTGAAATCCTTACAAGTAACACAGGAATACTGTTCAGGAAAACCTGAAGATGAGCCACATGGGAGAGAAGGCAATCAAAACATGACTGGGGAAAACTGCTCCCCATGAGTCTACCTTAAGAACGTGGAAGGAATGAAGCCTTCACCCAATGACTGGTGAGACAGAGCTAAAAAGGAGAATAAATACTGTAAAACTCCCAACACAATTGGAATATGGAATGTACAAAGCATCAATCGAGAAAACTGGAAGTTGTAAAAAATGAAATTAATGCATAAAAATCAACATCCAGGGTATGAGGACTGAGATGGATGGGTTCTTACTAATTTGAATCAGACAACTGTATGATTTACTACACCAGAAATGAGAAACTGAGGAGGAATGGTAACACACTGTTTCTCAAAAAGAGCCTTCCAAGATCCATCCTAAAATACAATGATGTCAGTGACAGGATGTTACACATCAACATTACATATAAAAGCTGTCAAGACAACTATTATTTAAATATACAAGGTAAAGATGAAGACTTCGACAGACTTTTAGGGGCGCTCTGGTAGCTCACTGGGAAGTACTGTCAACGCAAAGACTATTTTGTTGTTGATTGCCATCGAGATGAGCACCACTCAAAGCGACCCTATGAACAAAAGGCTTGAAGCCCCTCTACAACTACAGACATTTATCAAAGGTCATAGAGTTTCCGGAGGCATGCTGTTTAGGAAGTCGATGCCACTCCTGCTTCCAAAAGATACAGAGTTCAAATCCTCAAGCTGCTTTGTGGGAGAATGATGGGCAATGTTCTCTCATGTGATTTACTGCCTCTGAAAATCTGCTGGACAGTCAGCTATGAGTCAGTTCTGACTCAACAGTTCTCAACAATTATCAGCTTTCCCCAAGATGTATTAATAAATGGGACTAGCATGCAAGAGTTACAAACAAAAAAGGACTAGTAGTTGGGGAAAATACGGCCTTGGTGGCAGATGGATCAATGATTT